TTGTACAAAGAAAATTACACATTTTGAACAAAAAGAATAAATGTTAGTGAATAAAATAAATGATGGATAGAAAAATCCACTCAGATAATAGTAATAACTAAAATGAAAACATATACAAAAGTTAGAATAAAAGGTAAACACAATATACAAAAATTCAACTCACTTGAGCATTTGTTTGAAACGTTCACCATCTATACTCAAACATATAGCTCAGTGCATCTAGGCATATATTTAGCTGTAGTTGAAGTCTCTTTGTATACGCGGTTTCAAAAACATCCCAAAAACAAAATCCAAACTTTAGTCCCTTTTAATCCAATGTAACAATTTTATTTAAATCAATTTTATACTTACAACAAAGTATCAGAAAATACGGAAAGTAGAAAAAGGAGAATTCATAAAATATACAACTGTTTTGTGAAGAATTCGTTTCGTATTTTCAAAAATTGCGATCAACTCTCTCACTTGCAAGTACCGAGAGCATTTTAGCAGGTACGGCTCTATATTACCATGCCTAGCGGATCGGTGAGATGGACAAAAAGTTTCATAAAAATTTTCCGCCAATCGTAAGTCGCAAAAAACTCAAAAGTATGTTAAAAAACGTATCTAACATATAATAATATGTGTTATTTGATTTATCTCTTACGCCCGTCATGATAGACAAACAAATATGTATAGTTCAAGTGAAAAAAACAACAAAATTACTCAATATCTCGTGAAATAAAAAAAATTACGAATACATATAACAATTAGCTGCATTCCTTGTGCACGTCCGTGAAAACTGCATCACAATATTTTCAACCGTTCAAAAATTACAAGAGATGCTAAATTAGCTAATAAATGCTAATAATGCTAAATGCTAATAAAAATTACAAGAGATGAAAATTACAAGTTATGTGTCTCAACAGTATACAAAACGTATATTCTGAGAGAAAACGTTCAATTAGATAATAAGCAAATATCACTTAGATATACTAAAGTAATAGTATTTCCCACGCTTTAATAAGAAGTAAAATAGATTACGGATCTATTGTATATAATTCATATTTAATTCAACTCGCCAAAAACTGGACACCCTGCACAATTGCGGACTCAAAATAATCACCGGGTGCTTCCACACTACCCCAACTGGTAGTATCCTCAACGAAGCGGCTTACACTTTTCGAAGACAAACTCTGTCAGTAAAATGTGCAATCAAATCCAAAACATCGTTAAAGAAGATAACACGAAATAATGTATCTCCTGGAATTAGAAGTGGAAATCTACAGTGTCCCATACCATTCTATCATAACGTTGCTACGTTATTCAGCCCTCTCAACATTTCGAGGCTCAATATAGAAAGTCAAAGGATCCCTGCTATAAATTCCAGGACCATCAATATCATTGAAGTTGGTAAATGATTGAAATTTAACATAACAACCTTACCTCAGATGAATTGAAACTAAAATACTATGAAGTCGGTGACAAATACAGAAAAAATTATAATATCTTCATCGACGGATGCAATAATACAAACTTTTCTGAAACTTTATGAACATTGCTACTAAATAAAACATATTTAACGATTACACGATTCTGGAAGCGCTTAAATAGATAATCCATAAGTGCACCGATAACCATCACTAATAAAATTCCAAAGGGTAACTTCAAGATTTATGATGAAACCCAATCTAAAACGATGCCGGTCCTTAAGGCAGTAGTGCCGTAGAGATCTCGGACCGAAGGATCGCGGGTTCGAGTCCCGCCTCGGGCATGGTTGTATTGTGTTCGTCCTTTCAGATCTCTGTCATCATATCGTGTCATCGTCATAGTTACCATACCGTTACACGGCATAATGGTCGCTAATGACCTAGTAGTTAATGCGACCTTAAATAAAAAACAAAAAAAACAAACAAAAAAAAACAATCTAAAACGATGACTAGAATTAAAAACTGCTTTATACAATTAAACTTCACGACTTATCAGTAATTTTTCTTCTTGTACCTAATCAGCTTCACCCAATTAATGACTTAAATCCATAATAATAAAATTAATACAAAGATATTAATTTCCAAGGAAATAATCCAGATTTCCAAGGCAATAATGAAAGACCTAACCCTGGTTTATTCCAAGCAAGATGTCATAAGATTCATAGACAGGAAGATGAAAAGAATCCAGCAATTGAAACCGATATGGCCATAAAACAAGTAAAATAGTATACTCACAAATCAATTGATTTATTCTTCTCACTCGAACCCCAAGATGGCTACACGCGAGCAAGTTGTAATTACACGAATTAGAACTGGTCGTTCTAAAATTACAGACAAGTACTTGCTGGAAATTCCTCAGATTTTGCAGATATAAACATATTAGAACTATGTATTTTAATCCAATAGATAAATAATCAAATATAAATGTTTAATCAAATAGAAAAAATATTGCACTCTGTCCCCTTACAGACCCAGATTGTTAAATTTTGCAAAAAAAAAAAAAAATAAATATCATACTAGAAATATAATATTATAGTGAGCCTGCTTACGACTTTCGTGCAGATATGTTATGATCCTATCCTGATGATACTGTATGATTATGCTATGTAAAATAAATAGTAATTGAAAATAAGCAATATTGTATAAATATATTGTGCACATCGGAACGTCTTATAAATATTTTTCACAAATCACAATTTTACACCAACATAACTGTAGCCTACTGTTTCAGAGAAAATATTTTTCCAGATCGTATAATTACATTTCTCTAGAATTGGCTCTGTTACATTCAATTGGCTAAAATTCTTTTAAATGTGAAACTCACTTTTTAAATAGAAGATAAACTAAAATTATTCATTACATCTACGAATAGAGTTCATTTCATCGTACTGTTGTGTTTCAACATGCGATCTGCTCTCCACAACACTTTTACAGATTACGTAATCCAATGAGTCGCCAGAAGCTGCTTCTTATGGAAGCAATATCGAAATCTTCATGTGTGTTCTAACGAACGCTCTTGGCTTGAGACTGACTTTTAAGAGATGTCATCTCATCACATACTAATAATTCCATCTCGATCCATTGAACAAGTGCTGAGACGTTCCTTTGTTTTGATACTGAACAGAAAATGTTGATTTTCTCCCTCTCAGGCGTCACACAGTGTTTACTGTTTTTGCTTTTAAATAAAAATAAATAAATATTAGGAATACACAAAAACAGGAAAGCCGCAAACAAACTGCGGTGTTGGGTGTGTACCCAATAATATGTTCATGAAATGTCAATCATTCTTATGTATGTTTATTATTTTTAGGCTGGACTGTTTATATTTTTATGATATATTTTTATATATAGATGGACTATTTCAACGAGGAATTTAAAAAGTAGAAATTAAAGGTACTAACCCATTTACAACAAACCGTTTTCCGTCAACATTAATCTATTAACTTTGGCCGACATTCGAGAGATTGGGGTGATTCGAGACAACTCCCGACCTCACTGCGTATGAAAGATATCCTACGCTTGTTTTACCTTTGAAACCCAAATTGCTCGGACGAATCCGAAATTTGGCAGAGCAACTTCTATTCACATTTTCGATGGGCGATCGTCCAAGAACTTCTAACGATGCTAACGACCGCTTTGATGTGGCTTTACGCATAATAAAATTCATCGTCTGAGCACTGCCAGATGTGCACTCTGCTCGGAGGATCTTGGTTTCGTGCTATTCATTACCAGCTCCGCGAGGTATATAGCAAAGGGAGCTCGGTGCCTCTTAACGCCACCTACAATTGCTACTCCTGCGCTTCATGATTCATTTGATCTTTCAAGGTCAACTAATACACAGGGTTTACGAGTATGACACACCTGATAACATGAAATCAGTTTTTCATGTTAAGGGTCCATTTATAGCATTCAGAAGGATAATTTAGCCAGACTAAAATCTTACAGCCATGCTGCGAGATAACGAAACTAATGACAATACTAGTCTCGGATGAATAAGAAAAAAATTATTTACACAAAGTACTATTTGAGATACAAGTAAATGAAATGTATAAAGGTAACTGAAAACTAAATAAAATAAAATAAAGTAAAATATATAAAAAAAGTATAACATCTGCATATCCTGTACAAAAACAAAAGCCGTAAATTTTGTACAAGTTGAACCGTGTAGATATAAATTAGTTGTATGCAATTTACCTGGAGAGCAAATTTCAAATTTTAACACCTTGGGATACAAAATGTCACACATGCGAGAACTAGATGTACAAAGGGGAAACATTTAAGACTAAATCGTAAGAACGGAACAATCATACGAACCCTGAAAAGTAAAGACAAAAAGGAACATTGTTAAATTCTAGAAAGTGTTAAAAATTCCAACATGTTTACATGGAAATGAAAGTTACACAGTGACAAAAAAATACCAAGACTACAAAGTGCTGAATAAGATTTCTGAGATAAATAGATAGTTGTAGACAACAGATAGGACAATGAATTAAAAAAGAATCGAGGAACTTGGGATCCACACGATTCAAGAGAAAATCAGCGAGTACCGAAATTCCTGGATTCAACACGTTGAAAGGATGCATGGCAATTCTCGCCACGTAAAATAAGGCAAATTCAATTCAATTCAATTCGACAGAATCTTGCATTAGCACCTCCCATGGCGAAGAAATCCTGGTCACCTGAGGACGTAACGGGGCCGCCAGATAAGCAAAACAGTGGTATGGCTAAGGAGAGGGGGGTCTTGAAGAATGTTGAGCCATGTGGTGTATTTTTAGAGATTTCGCGGATGAAAACAAATGCTCGACAAGTCACCCTATTGGATTAACGTTGAAGAAACATCTCCATCCCCATTCATGTATCACATAATTAGTAGTAATCGTTTTCTTTTCTATTTTTTCTGGGTGGCGGACTTCAATTTCGCGCAGAGTAGCACAAGCTTTCAATAGGCCACTGCGGTGAAATGGTGAAAAATAATTATGATGAAACTGAAAAGACATTGGTATGGAAAATAGAGAAACTATTGTGTTGCAAGAGTCACGATCCCGTTTTCTCTCTCTGAGATTCCAGGCGCAGATCCGCATTAGAAAACCCCGATTTCCAAGGAACATGAGGGTCAAAGCCGGCGTGATCTTCAGACATCCTAGAAGATCCCTCTAAGAAGCAAATCTTGAGCATCCGCAATTCTGGTTCTCCGTTAATGGAAGCATTTTTTTTAAATTGACCTTTAGTACGAGTAGTGCCTGCAGGATGACCAGCAGAATAATTTATCTAGTGATTTCATTACTTTGAGAATTACTTAGATTTACTTGTTCACACGCTAACAGTATTTATGACAGATTGTGAATGTGCATTTTCGAGGATCAAACTTACAATATCTTACTATAATGTTAGAAGAGAATTGGGCATCTTGCTATTATCAAACCTGTTTACGCATCAGTGCATGATGAAATTGAATTAGAAAAGCAATTCGCGGAAAAAAACGCGCGAAGTTTGATGTGTGTTTGTTGAAGTAAAGTTTGTTTGATTTGTGTACCGTCTTACTAAATATGTAACGTCAAGTATGGTTTATGTCCTATTTTGTAAAAACTGAGGTCCGGGGCCATAACATGCATGATTGCGTCGGACATAATTTTTGGGAAGGATTTCTTTACCTTCCGTCCTCTGTGGATACGACTTTTTAAATAATTATCTCACAGAGCTATGGTGATGTTTAGGAAATATTGAAAAATAATCCTATAAATAACAGAAAGCAAACTCTTTAGGTAGCTAAGGCAGGGAGGTGACAATAATTGGTGAACTGCGAGGGGTTTGAGAGACAAACAATCGAATCATTTCTTTGAGGTGCGTTAACCGATCAGTTGATCACGGGGAGACAAACTACGTTTAAGCATAAGCAAGTTCCGAGACAGCGATAGAAGACCGAGAAACTACGAAACAAACGGAACACGAGGGAGGAAAATTGGGTCATGCGAATTAGGCCGAGACCTTGAGCGCCGGCGGTGGCGGTGGCGGCGGCGGAGGCAGCCGCCAATGCGTAGGAGGCGCCGCTAAATGCGCGGGAAGCTGCTGCGGAAAACAAACGCAACAGAGCTGTTGCACTGCATCCGGTGGCTCGCGCGTTACACCATTCAATAGGACATTTCTTTTCAACAAAGAACAATATTGACTAAGCGCGAATAAAATTATTAAATGTCAAGAGAATTTAGATGTCAACAACTAATTAAGTTTGCTTGTGTAATATCAAGCGCTCGAAGATTATCTCCAACTCTAAATCTCCGTTTAATCTAGATTTTCGCACTACCATAAGCATTTGTAACCATAACAATCTTGCGCATCTCCTTAATGTACAATTAAAATTTATTATCTCTCATTAATAGATTACTTTTGTAAATATTTAACTGCCTAAGAGTAAAAAACTTATCTTCGACTATCATGTGAACGTATAAATGTTGCATTTCTCTAGACGTAAAACAAAACGTTGTCTCAGAATTTCTCAATGAATTAAGGAAAATTCATCTGAGGTCCAAATCCATTGCCCAGAACTTATTTTACACAACACTTCATTTAAAGTAATTGCAAATTCAAAATCAATTTTAATATATTTATTCGTAATATTCTAAAAATATTTAAAGCTTTCATTAAGTTGACTTCTAATAGAACAAAAACAAATTTTCAGTGTGCATTTTATATATTTCTTGAACATATTTACGTTTTTAATCCAGGAATATTGTTATAATTTACATAAAAGACTTTTTGAGGATTTTTTTATGATATGCGGTTGAACTGACATTGGTGAATACTGATAAATACAATAAATAATGAATAAATTCCTGAATGAAAAGCAAAGCAACGGCAGTGTTTCATGCTGCGGAAATATTATCTAGTTATCACGAGGATTGTTTTAATTTATTATTTATGTATCTCTTTCTGCAAACTAACAATCTATGTGAGGAAGTTTTTCTTTGCAGTTCGACTTATCATCGCTTACACCCAATACTTTTAATATAAAAAAAGTCGAACAATGAGATTTTAAGTCAGTTCTAAAAATAGTTTTTACTCGTATGTGGAATAAGTCTCTATCTCTAACATTATACCATTGGCAACTCTTGGTAGCAGAAGCATCGCTACTTCGTGGACTGAGATTACACGATTAATTTTAATTTTAATGTTGTCCAGACATTCAGTTTTATAAAATCATTTTCATAAATTAAAAAAACCAAAAGACAAACAGTTTTTGATATAACTTAAGAATCGTCGATTAAAGGAAGCAAATGATATTGCAAGAAAACTAATTAGCGATCTCCAGTACGAAACAGGTTTTTTGTGCTAGAACAGTATTCCGCGAAAGCGACGATAAAGAGAAGCACATCATGCATTGAGGCATATGTTACGGGATTTATTTGAGAATTCAACCTGCAGGACCTGTCTTAAATATTGTTGATCTCAAACCTGTAATACGTATTAGGTTGCTCATTTAGTTTGGAGGAGGATTCGAAATCAAATTAAGAGGAAAAAATAATAAAATATTAGATAGAAAAGCATTTTAAAAATTATATTATTAAACTGTTCTAACACACATTTGTCAGAGTGAATTAGGATACGTCAGGATTAACTAATTATGATACCTCACGATATTCACATTTAATTCTTTTTTTAATTTACTGAACGCATTACAGAAACTGCACTTCATTGTGCTACGGTGGATAGTTGCGATTGTTCTTCCATGATAACACGAACTCCACGCCCGGAACAACGCTCCAGGAACCTCATAAAACAGAGGGAGAAAAAGCTGCGTGCACCTCGTTACCCAGGATATTATCGCTCCATTGTGAAACAATTCACCAACACGGTGGCCCGGGGCTGCAATGGAACTGAGGTCATTGGTAATCCTGCGGCGTGACGTCATGTGCAGTTGGCAAGGCCGCTGAGAAAGCAGCGGCTCGGTGGCTGCGGC